CTGTTCTCCTAAAAATCAAGTGATCCCCCCCAAAATCCTCCGACCCCCCCCAGGTGATAAATAATGACCGGTCCCTAACTGATGTAAAACCCGGCCGGTAGAGTGATAGAGAAATGGGGGCGTATAAAATGAAACGCTAGTATTTTTAAAAACTTTTTCTTTTCTCTTACAGGTTGTTATGGTATATGAATATGGTATAGTCAAGTAAAAGCTCAGAAGTTTATAAACGTCTGTCTCGATAAAATGCTGTATAAGCAGTCATGTTCAAAAAATTTCAATGTTGCGCTTTATAAGTTGATGACTGAGGTTTGGAAATTTCCCGGGAAAGTGAACAAAGCTTTATAATTATTTATCCTCTTCACATTAATATATTTTAAAAAAAGATGATGCAACAATGCGAGTGCAGCAATTTAGTAAAACTGCCCGCCGATAGGACTTAGTCACCAAAAAAATTAATACCTTGTGGGTAGAAGGTTTTATCGTCATAAGTCATACACTGTGCTATAATTATCTCTGTGGTGGTCTAGATTACTGACGGGAGTTTAGATATAAAATGATCATCGTTAATATCGGAATCTTCTCAGAGAAACAGCGCTAAAGAATCCAATATAAACTTGGGACACAATTAATTGATGGAGCTGGCTGAGGAATTAAAAAACACTGTCAAGATAGCTCTCTAACACTGAATTCAAAGAAGTACTATCTAACCTGCATTCAATATCGCTCTCTTAATATCTACTTTTTTAATTTTAGTTTATAAGGCAGCTAAGCCGGCCATGCGTTAAAATATTTCTCGTGACCCTCAAACCGTCGGCGCTTGAAGAACTGAGATTCCATGTCGCCAGCGTAGGCAATTAAGACTGAAATTGATCAATAAGCTACATTAATTAGTGATTGATTTCTGACAATGGCAACATTTTTTCGTCAAGAAATCAAAGTTATGCCTATTTCATTGAGAATAGCAAGAAATTTTCAGTTCTTGTTTAGAATTATTCTCTTTTTGAGTCAAAATGGTAAACAAAACGAACAAACAAAACAAAAACAAGGATAGATATTTCAAGATTTTTACCAGTACTGCATCTATGATTCCTATCGTACATAACATTTCATGTGCTGTCACCTGTCAAGTGATAAAAAGATTTAGACAACACCTCTTAGTTAAGGGAATTTGTTTTTTGAACCGTGTTTGCATTGATACTTATACCTGAGGTAAATTGGCATCAAGTCTAATGTTCTATTAACTTACGAACGAACAGATATTATATGTGCGCAATGGAAGCCCAGCTCTACGGACACTCACTAATAATACGGTTATAGCGGCATCAAGTCTAATATTCTATTAACTTACGAACGAACAGATATTACATGTGCTCAGTGGAAGCCCAGCTCTACGGACACTCACTAACAATACGGACACCTGTATATGACGAACAGTGACATTTGTCCCGATGAAAAGCTCATATATTTTAAACGAACATCGGTTGATAAGGACAACGGACATTTTTCTTTGTCCCGAGTCACAAGCTGTCATAGTTCTCAACCCCGCTTTACAAAGTGAAGTAACAAATTCCATTGCCGTCGCGTCTTTCAAGAACAACACTTTTAAGTGATAAAAGTCACGGGCGTAAATTATCACATGTAATACCAAATCTTTCATTTATGAGAAAACGTTGTTTTATTCTGTAAGTTTAACTGTAGAAAGGCCTTCCTAAGGAAAGCTTACGATCTTATATCATCATGTAGTCTTGGACTAAAATCAGTTACCTTTTAACAGCTGACGTTTATTTACATTATGTAAGTTTATGTTTCACAGTAAGATCGGTAGCCTGTTCCAACAAAAAAAGCGGGAAAACCGCTTTTCGCTCGCTCACTATTTCGCTGCTTGCGCGCCTTTTTCGCTTCTTGCTCGCTTTTTTCGCTCGTCTACACTGACCGATAGCCTGGCACAGGCTATAAGATCGGACGTTTCGTTAACCTTCGAGACTATTCATCTCAAACAAGATACTGCGCTTCTAATCCTTATAATAGTGTGGTCCATTTAGGGACTGGTCAAAAAGTATAGGGGGGGGGTGGGGTGGGCCGGAGCATCTGGAAATGTGGTTGATAAAAAACACATGACCCACCCCCTCCCTTCGGCACAAAAATGACTGACCCACCCCTAAAGCAAGGTTGGAAATTGCATGACCCACCCCCTAGTTAAAACATGGATGTTTGGTTTCCTCTTAATAATCCAATAAAACCTTGTTCTGTGCTTGACAAAATTTGTGTATACATTGCTACAACCAATATCAAAATCACAGAAATCATACCTTTCACTGAAAAGACAAATGTGAAAAACTGAACATTCCTTGTTTCGATGGACGTTATGAGCCTTGACACAAATATACAGCAAAACAAGGGTATATTGAAATTGTCTGTCACAAAGTATATGAAAATTTCTACAAAGACAACCCATTCCTACACATTACTTGCCGGAAATGCTTAGATTAATCGATCCTCAAAGAAAATTTCTTCCACTTCAATGGAAAGCACCACCTACAAAACCATGGAACTGCAATGGGCACAAAGACAGTATATTTGATTCCTTTGCCAATATTTTCATGACATATATTGAAACAACAACTCTAAGCAAAACAGTCTTTAGAACAACAGTTTGGAAATGCTACATACACGATATCTTTGCCCTCTGGGACATGAGTAAACCAGACATCGAAGCCTTTGTTGAACAAACAAACTTACATCACCCAACTATTGAATTCACGGCCAAAACATTTGACACTGAGACTGCGTTTTTAGACACGGTTGTATACAAAGGCACAAGATTCAAGAAAAAATCTATCCTGGATGCAAAGACACATTTTTAACAAAGGCAAACCTTCTTGCACGCACATTTCACCTCGTGTCACTCTCCAAATGTTAAAAAAAAAAGGATTTGTCAAAGGAGAAGCCTTGAGAATCCTACGAAAAAACTCCTCAGAAACAACCTTTAAGGAAAATAATTCAAATTTAAAAAATAACGCTTGATGGACGGAGGCTACCCACAAACTTTGATAGAAAACATACTATCAAAAAGAAAATTCAAAAAAGGGAGTCTAAACTCCTAAAACAAAACAACAAGGAGGAAACAGAAATATTGCCATTCGTGACACAATACTAGCCCTCAGTGTCTACTATAAAGGAAGCTTGAATGAAAAAATTGAAACTTATACAAAACCAACTGTAACCTGAATAAATTTTAAAGAACCACCAATCATTTCCTTACAAAAAAGGAAAATCATTAAAGGACATGCTCATAAGAGCCAAAAAAAAAGGTTAACAGAGGGTTCCATGCCCGTATTTATATAGATGTGCGGCCTGTCACCCTTTTGTACTTTCTCGCACAACAGGTTTGTGAGTATTTTAGCAATAATTCCAGCTGGCGGTGTTTTATATAACAAGTGTAGTCAACTGTCTCGTTAGTAGTTAGTGCCTAGCTATGTAATAAAATAGGGTGACCCACCCCCTAAGGGTAGCTAAAAATTGCACGACCCACCCCTTGCACAAGGCTCAAAACCTCATGACCCACCCCCTGCTCCGGCCCACCACCCCCCCATACTTTTTGACCAGTCCCTTACATGTATAAGCATTTTTCGAAAACGGAAAAACATAACACAGCCACCTTTCTCTATTTATTCTTTTAATTATTTCAGATTAAAAACCACTACAATAACCTACTACCGTAGGAGCTCAATACTTTGTATGGCGCCCGAAGGATCATTTTTGAACAGCATAAAATGTCCCTGTATATGTGCAATACTTTTCCTCTGGCCCAGGCCCATCACTTTGTCCGCAAACTCCTCTGCACGAGCGAAGGTCTGGTCAGGATAGAAACGCCTATACATCTTGTAAAGCTGGCTCTTAGAAGCGAGACCAATTTCCTGTTTAAGGTCTACCCTGCCTGGCCGTATGAGGGCTGGGTCGAGCCTGTCAAGATGATTGGTTGTCATGAAAACAAGGCGCTCTTCAGAAGATGCCACGCCATCTAATGTGTTTAGAAGACCGCTGAATGTTACCTGAAACATGAATTTGTTGCGTGAAAAGGTGCTTTCGAGGGGGGTTATTCACACCCCTACTCTCCCATCCCCCCTTTTCCCACCAAAAAAAAAAAGAGTTTTACCTTTGCTCATTACACTTTCACTACCATTAGAAAACTTTCATTGCACTTTGACTGAAAGCATAACAACGGTCATGGCGACGTCCACATATTTTTTTGTCAAAGCTGTGAGATGCTAACTAAGTATGCTCAGTCATCTTTTCTCAACCTTGGAACTCTAAATGAAGTAATTTCAAATGATTCTATTAAACGGATAGCAAAGCCAAATCGTGTTTTTTTTTTTGGGCAACTTGACAAAGTTGGCCTAGCGTTTTCAAGTTGCTATCCTAAAAATACTGGTCATTGAAAGCCAAAAACATGCATTCATAGTTGACACATAATTTATAGTAGACGAACATTTTGAAATAAAACTGAGCTTTATCTCATGGTTTTCTTGTATTCCAAAGTGTTTTTTGGGGGGTTTCAAAGAAATAGCAAAAAGAATTTTTAAATAGCTCCTTCAATTTTCATTTCCACTACAAAAAAAAAACAAAAACAAAAAACAAACAAACTTAATTTCCATCCGCAAACTGACAAGCTGTTTTTTTGGTTATAATTTCCAGACAGATTACACTTTTAAGGTAAGTTTAAAAGGTGCCAAATTAATATGTATATTTAAACAATGATTAGCTTTAATAAACAAAACCAGCAATCTACATTTACTTCAATTTGTATTTACCCTGTTTGGATAGCTATATGCCTTTCCCTCTTCCTTTTCATCTGTTCTCTTAACAAAAGCTGCATCAATATCTTCTAACAGCACTATACTCTGCTGTGGTGCACAGCTCATTAGATGGATGAGGCGGTCATCTGACAGGCTGCGGTCACTTAAGTTCATCACACAAATACTATAATCCAGTTCTCCAGCTAATGCTTGACTAGAAGATAACAAGAGCAAACCATGCTTTTCGTTAAGAAAGTAGGTATAATGTAACTTCTACAACAAGATTCTCTTGCTTTCTTACAGAAGGAAAGGAACTGAAGGAACAGTATATGTCTGTTAAATTCCTTGCCATCACTAATCATTCTGCTTACACATGCCATCTCTCCTTGCTAGTCCCCCAGTGGGGACATTAACCTGGTGATGTCAAAGGAGTGGAGAGAGATGGCTGTAATCGCAGGCCATGGTGAGACAAAATTAAAATGTTTTCATGACAGATTAGTACTCGCAGCTGAATATACCCCAAAATCTTGCAGTACAGTATAGTGGGAAAACACGCTGGAATCTCAGCTAAAGCTGTGTAAAACATGCCACCACCAAAAAAATGAATAAATAACTAAAAAAATGTCAAAGGAGTGGAAAGAGATGGCTGTAATCGCAGGCCATGGTGAGACAAAATTAAAATGTTTTCATGACAGATTAGTACTCGCAGCTGAATATACCCCAAACTCTTGCAGTACAGTATAGTGGGAAAACATGCTGGAATCTCAGCTAAAGCTGTGTAAAACATGCCACCACCAAAAAAATGAATAAATAACTAAAAAAATATAACTTTCTGTTATTGTATAAATTTTAACTTGCACATTAAAGATAAGTAAAACTTGGTTTAAATGTTCAAGCAATAATCAGAGCAAGAACGTAGGAATGGAAAAATGGACATACATGAAGCTACTTTTTCCACACCCTGGAGGTCCATAAAGTAGGTAACCTCTCCTGTATGGTATACCTAAAAAAAAACAAAAACAGCACTGAATGAAAGTTAAGCTTAGCAATAGCACATTCAGCAAAGTTAGGAGGTTGAAGAATAAAGGCAACCAGTTTAACACAAAAATGAGGTGAAGTATTGAGTGCAGGAACGAAATGCAAAAACTGACTGCTGGTCCCTCATTAGGGATTTTCTATGTTCTAAAGTAATTGTATGTGCTTAGTTGAATTGTCTTGCTAACGTCAGTTTTTCAGTTAGCAAGACGTATATTTCTAAAGGTGGTCCTATTCACAAGCCGTAAAGGCTTCCTTGGGCTCCCTTGCCTCATCTTTTTCCTATATATTTAACTTGTATCAGTGGCAAAAAAAAAATATGATTAATAATAAAACATAAACATAAGGTATAATATAAAATCTTTAGTTTGAATCCCAAATAAAGGGCTTTTTCAAATGTCTGCCAGACTCACAGCCAATGAACAAAATAACCTCTATTGTCAGCAAGATCAGGAATACATATATTACCAACATATTCACGCAAACAGTACAAATGCACTGTTAACCTTCTTTCCAAGCATTTTGAAATTTACTGACTCCTGCTGCTGGCTTCACATCCAGGCTTTTTTGTTTGTTTTTACAATGTCTGCTAAAACAGGCCAAAATATCTGAAGGGTAGGGGGTGTCCATTTGAAATAATTTTTCCAGACTTGAGGTCATGCAAAACTGGCAATAATCGAATATGTACTTACACGTATTATGTTGTGGAGGCAAGCAAAAATTAAGAAATAAAGGCAAGGAAGTGCATTATTTTCTAGAAAAGCATCATCTATTCTAATCACCAAACTTAAGGCTTGACAAAGAGCTAGAAATCATGTTGTTCATAATAAAGAATAGTTTCCAAACAACTTCTTTGCCTTAGAAGGTCACTAACATTTCTTTGTGTAGTGAATTTCTGGAGCAGACTTTCGGTCATCCTGCTTGATATCAAAAATTATAAATAAAAAGGATCATGTTTCACCAACAAAACAGACAATACATGATGACATGTGAAACAGTGGAATATTTTTTCCACTTTTCATTTTGAATGTTCTTTTGAGACTTTTTTCTACATTTTAAAGTTTGGTTCATTATTTTAGTAGCATTTTTAGTCTACCGATATTTTCAGAGGTTAGCAAATATCTGTTGAGGATATACTTTTATATGTAAGGAATCAGACGTCTGATGCTACTATAAATTAAACAAACAGATTTGCTGCAAACATTTGAATAAAACATGTTACTAGTTTGCAAACAAATGATATTCAAACCATTCCACTGGTTGGTCAAATGCTTTGAACAAATTTTTTAAAAGCATTCAAATGGATAGTACTGAAACAGCAAACAGCTATCCCATTGAAGACCCTTGAAGTAGATTATGGCTCGTTTGAGTTGCTTTATTTTCTTTACAAGAGATTGTTTCATAGATAAAACACATCCTTGATTTTAGTAAACCTTAAAATTTAAGCAAACAGGTGAGGCATATAAGTGAGTCCTTACGGCGAACATCTTCTCACTCTAGCCATATAAAAATGTTCAGTTATATCTCAGACAGTATGTCAACTGAAAAAATTTACTATTTAATTAATACTCTGTAATTTTGGTTTTCAACATACACCAAAAGAGCGTGCTATACGTACTTTAGAAATATTGCCATAAAAAAAAGAAAATGTTTCAACAATACTTAAAAGGCGTTTCTAAAGACGTGAACAGTGATGTTTAAACGTTTAAACAGTAGATAATTTTCAAATACTGCAAATTTAGGCCACTAAAAGAAAATAGAAAATTCCAGGGGAAGTGGGGGGGTTATGTAAGGCCCCTCTGGAATGGAAATTCTGGTGGGGTGGGGGTCTAATCTAAAAGACCATCTGGCGTGGTGGGTGGGGGGGGGTATGGATACTTTCTGGAATTACACAAGATTGGACACCATTTTTGTTGCACCCTTTCTAGACGCAATGGCTGGTGTGTACATATGTACAAGTGTTTTCTTATCATTTAAACCTGGTGCTGAGTGTTCAAATACTACATAACTTTATATCTGCAGGGTGAACTTGTAGATGGCAGTCCGTAAGAAAAACACTACAAACACTGGCATATAAAATTTATAAAACTTGATTAGACTTTCAAACCTCTGTCCATGTACCACTTAGGGGATGCAATAAAATCCCTAACATCAGCTAAGATTCTCTCTGATACACCATCGTCAAGAATAACAGAGTCTATTGGTCTTTTTCGTCGCGGAAACCCGAACGGTTGCCAATCTGTCCCTCTTGCAACGTACATGACAGTTTTGCCCTCCTGCTTTGCAAGGGCCGTGCTTCTTGCTTCACTCAGAATATCAAAGAACAGCTGCTTATTTGTGGCAAGCGATGTTAGAGTTACAGATTCCCAAGGAGCCCCACTCGAAAGGTCTACCATTTTTTCAGCTCGAGTTCTTTCCACTCTCACAAAGCTCTTCTTGTATCTGAAGAAATGCACCCCGGGACTAGGCGAAAAATCAAAATTTGTTTGCACTTTTCCCGTTTCTTGTTGGACGAATGTTGTCTGAACGCTAAGATGCTGAGCTCGCTGGCCCTGAGCTGCAATCCATTGCAAGACCCACTGATAACTCTTGTCATTACTTGGAACTTCGAGGGTGATAATGGCGTACCGACGAAATAAGGTGTATGCGTGCAAGCTTCCTTTTCTCAATACAGCAAGTCCAGCTCCTACCCCTACTAGACCGAAACCAGCTGAAAAATAAGGATTACTCCCCAAAGATGCGATCAGTTC